AAAGGCATGGAACGCATCATCAACCAAAATCATCGCTATGACCCCCTTCTGTTTCACACGATCAGAGACCATATTCAAGGCTCCAAAGAACACTAGCACAGGACAAAAACTGGAGATCTGCTCTATTCCGAACCCCCCGTATCTTTCAGCGGGAGTCCTTCTTAGAAGGAACTTCGTAACCGAGCGTCCAGCATCCAAATCAAACATTATCAGAGCGAAAGGAAATCCAGGAACCTTCAACCTAAGGTTGTTGTAAAAGCCTGGGTTCATCCAGAGGAACCTAGTCATCCCTTCCACTCCTTGACTCAAGACTGCTCTCAACAACAGGCTGTTCCGATGTTCACACCGCACAATTACAGTTCGACCATCTAAAGAAAAAAGGGGGGACCCAACAACAGTCAATACATACACCCCTTCAAGGCCTCTACTATAAGAACAGCTCATGAAAGCCACAGCTCCACGGGGAACTTAATCCGACGAGGCTTCACTGGCTCTTTCAAGTCTCGTGAGGTGATCTCCAAGGAGCCAATGAAACCCATCTTGAACATCCTCTTCGTAGATATCTACATCAACGCGGAACCCAGCCTTCCATAAGCAAAACAAGATCCTATCTCGATGAGGAATCTCAGACGGAAGCGGGAGCGGCACATAAGCAAAATCACTAGTCTGGGTTTCGCTGCTACGGAAGTTTCTGGGAGCCCTTTGGACTCTTCGAATAACTAATCTACAGCTTTCCCAGAGTCCAATCGCAACAACAAACACACAGACAGTCCAGAAAGTAGACCCATCGCACCTATCCCCAGAAAGGCCAGCTTCGCTCCCTGTCCCAGGCATGCCCTGAAGTGATGGCTCTTGACAGCTAAGCACAAGGGCTCTCTCATCCGTTAAATCCTCCCAACGAGCGGCGTGAGCACCCCGAATACCCCGCAATACAGCCCACAACACTACACCTACTAGGACAAGAAACCGAAACAACCTCCACAGAATCCTGCCCCAAGCCTTGTGACGTAGACTACCAGGTAGCTCAGCACTCGGGGGACTGGCAGTCGCCTCCGGTTCTCCAACCGGCTCAACATCACCCCCTGACTCAACACAACCTGCTCAAAGACAGACCAATCCCCAGTCTGAAGCCCTTCAACAATTCCCTGAACCTGAAACTCCAACCACCCGGGTAGCGGAACCCTCCACTGATCGTCCACATAAGTGACCAAAAGGGCACCCTCAGCAGCTTGATAGGTTGTAACCGGAGCCCCGAAGCCTTCTAAAAACCCTCTGCCTTCTCGGGAAACACCCTCCTCCGGCTCTTCCTCTGGTATGGCGGAAACTGACGTACTGGCAGACACGATAGAGGGCTCCGTTGTGGAGTCCCCACTCTCTTCACTTGAAACAGACCGGTCAGCTTCATCTCCCCCGAACCTAAGTAGCCGCACTACGGGACCACCCCTATGAGGAACCCGATCAATCTCAGAGTCATCGGTTGCTCCAGACCCTTGAGAACCCCGTTCATCCCCGTAAGGTTGGTCTTGACTGGTCTGCTGAATCAACCTCCTTGTGCACATATGGTCTTCCACTGCTATATGCCACTGGGGGCCAATAAACAGTACTGAATTTGGTCCTTGTCTCCACACTTCTGCAATCGCTCCTACAACACCAATCCTCACACCCAAAGAAGCAACCCGAAGCTGGAACCAACCCCACGAAACCTCTCCTAGAAACCACAAAATACGACCCCCTTCTAACGACATGAGTTGCATCAAGAAATGGATGGAATACCACGATCCTACCATAGGGAACTGACGAGGCGTAAAGGGCTCGAAAGCATCTTCATAGGAACCCCAGTCGCCACCAACAAACCCGTGGCTACTCGAGCTACCCCCTTCCGGAACACGTGGCCTTACAGCCTCTTGACTTCCAGAGCTGCCTCCAACCTGAACCCTGGGCCTCGGAACCTCTGAACTTCCAGCGCTGCCTCCAACCTGAACCCTAGGCCTTGGACCCTCCTCAACTTCTTCCCTAAGGTGGTCCCCAAAGCTGGGGTAAACTTCAGAGGCGCTCCCCCCAACCTGAACAGGAAACGGATCCGAACTACTAGCAGAAGCTCCTTCTTGAACTTGGAAACCTAGCAGCTGAATCCCATCTCCGACAAGTTCAAAGGATCCTCCAAAGCTCACTTCAGCTCCAAGCCACTCCTCAACCCCACGATCAATCCCTGTATCCCCTAACTGTACCAACAAAGTCAAAAAGACATCCGCGCTCAAACTCGTATCCGCCCTTCGGAGGTAAATCCATTCAGGAGCTTGAGGGCCCAACAAACTACCCAACAGACCAAAGTTACTCTCCAACACCGCTAATACACACTCAACCCCAGTTATCGGCCCTTCTACTCCCTCATGGTCTTCATCACTACCTTCACTCGAAGGTCCTTCGGAAAGCCCTTCATCCCTGAGTCCGCTAGAGTTCCGTGACATGGCGTTGGCACCACCACTACCGGCAGCAAAACCCAACCCTTGGCTACCAGGTTGCAATGGAGCCGACGATGGCTGCAGACTAAGTGTTGGCGCACAAGACGATGCAGACGTAAAGTTCTGTAGCAACACCTGCTGCTCTTCATCAGACACCCCAGAGTACCAGCTGGGCAAGGGCCCATGACGCTGATACATTACCGGCGGCTCCAATAAACCCCCGGCTTCAATTGCCCTCCGAATACGTGCCCTTTGAACTAACGTAAGTCCACTATCTCGTTCCATCCGCGCAAGCTTAGCTTCAGCAACCGCCCAGCTTTCATCATCGAACTCATCCGAAGACCCTTCCGCATCCTTCGCTTCCTCCTCATCACCCTCAGAGGTTCCTGGGGTTGCGCAACCGCAGGTACTCCCACCGTCTACGCTCCGAGTACCTTTATCAGGATCCCTTTGTGCTCCACAAAAACAGAACCATAAAAATCCAAACATCAGCACTACTACGACCCCAGCAACCCATACACCTAGTTCCCAAACGTATCCTATCTCATCGCGATACGGTTGCC